TCTAAAGTCATTTTCATCATAAAGTTGAAAGAAATTAAATCGCTCCCGGATTTCTTTTTTCCGACGGAAAATTACCACTTTTAGTAGCTCTTCGTAATCGTCGTCACTGTCACTGAACTCCATTGTTGTGATCACTACTTTCCACCAAATTGCTTTTTAGATTTATTTTATTTTTCTTTTAATAAAAATAAATAGTTTGACATTCGAACAGCTGTTTGTTAATCAATCGTCAACCAATGCCCGGGAGATGAGTTAACTAATGGTTGACAATTCACTTTGAAATGAAAACCAACGGAACAGAAAACAAATCTTTTGGATCATCTAGACACAGTGAGTCTAATTAACTTTTGGAAAACGTGTAAAAAATCAAAATCCGACAATACAATCTGAACATAGAAAACCAACCTCAACAGAAAAGGCTATGGCATTCGCCGACTTAACATACTCCCAACGACTACGGCAGCTAGCTAAAGAGAAAGTAGCGACGATAGAGTAGGTTAAGCTAAAATTGCTACAGGTTTTGGCAAATCTTTTTATTAAGAAATATTGGGAAAGAATACGACGTTAATTTTTGACGAAATCGTGAATGGATTAAAATCAAATTGGATACCTAATTAACCTATATCGAAGGTCATACGCTCACTTAGTTTTATTACTACATTTTCCTTTGCGTCAAAATTGATATTAAAATCATCTTTAAATTAGTAATATGTGGTATATGGTAAAGTCAACCATAGCCTCCTTTTAATATATTGAGTTGATTTGAATTAGATATATAAGGTATAGAACAAAGTCTAGGACAATTTCATTAATATCACTGGTTTACAGCAAAAATGTTCCATGAACGCCACTATCCAATTTGTATGTGGAATCGCTCGCTGATTTCGAAAATCGAATAATTTTTTTTTATGGATACGATATGGATATGAGATATTTGCAATTTACCGTTATTCGACCAAAAAAAAGGTGTCTTCATTTAATCAAGTATATCTCACTGACCAGTTGAGCAATGTTACAGCAAATTATAGAAAATAAAAGTGAATGAAATTTCCTAAAAATATTGTCTACTCCTTTTTTCCGTAGGTCTTATAATTTCTGAGAAATCGATTAATCACTTCGTGTTTTTAAATTTTTTGAAAAAATTAAAAAAAATATACTTTGGCAAGGAAAAAATTTTAAAACAAAAGATATTTTTTAAATTTTTTTTATTTTATAGGAAGTCCTTTCTTTATAAAACACTAAGCTACCAACGAAAAAAAATCCATGGATAAATAGGAAAGTTGTACATGATCAAATAAAAATATCCAATTCGCGCAAAGTCAATGTATACGTACATATGTATGTATATGCGTATACAGTGTGTAAAGTAGGGGTGGGATTGTTTTCGAATATCATTAGAATAAACTAATAACGCTATTCGTTTAAAAAAAATCAAATAATACTTTTAGAACAGTAATACTCAAATACTGYTGTAGTAGGTAGTTTGCATCGAAAGCAAGAGGTGTCACGTTCGAAACCCCTGTAGTCATCTTAATTTGCGAAGGGTAATTAGTTGCGGAAAATTTTTAATGCAAATAAATTTAATTCAGACATGCACACACACATATCTTGCTAAATTCATTAACTTTTTTAAGACCGATATCAACAGCAGGTGGTATTTTCTTTTCCCGGCTCGTTAATATGAAGGAGCTTTTTTAGGTAGGTTTTGCCTTTTTTATTTTTTCGCGATCAAGCTGTGCATAAGGATAAATGCCCCTTGAAAGTTCATAATATCTGTAAGGCTCGCCGGTTTCAGGTTAATTACAATATAAGAAACCGAGAGCTATTTTTAAAAATAAAATGAGTAAACGTACGCGAGAATTTGAGTGTACCAACGATCCGGATATGTTCTGTTACATATGCGGTGAATATACTCTTGTACGGCATCGGAGGCAGTTTAGAGATTCGATCCAATCTATATATATTCAAAATATTTTGGTATTGAGCCTAAAAATATTGATAAACCATGGACTCCGAATATTTTGTGTTGCTTGTGTCGAATAATATTGGTTCAATGGGAATCAGGATCAACAAAGTACGTATTAAAATTATGAAACTATGCTTCTTTTTATTTAATAGTAATTTTTATTTTTTTCTTTTTCAGGCGATACATGAAATTTAATGTACCAATGATATGGCGAGAACCTACATGCCTGTTGACGCCGCCCCCGCTTTATTTCTTTTGCCACGTCTGTATCGGCAGAGCAATCTTTTCTTTTCCTCTTATTCGAACTTTTTTCGAAGTTTAATTCGCGCGCAACTAAACCATAACTAAAAGTTGCGCGCGCTCTCCTTTTGCGTCCGCTCACCGATCCAGACGTGGTAAGTGTGTTTCCAATTTATTATATTTAAATATATTTATTATAAGAAACCCTTTGTTTTTTATTTAACATTTTTTAATAACTTGCGCCGACCGTTTCCCCACGGCCAACCACATCTACGGAACGAACGAGCACCGTGCTCCACCACCCGAATTATCATTGGTCCTTCGAGCCGGATAACAGGTAACAAGTTGATTTTAATTCAAGTGAAAGTGCATAATTTGCCTGATTTAGCAACTCGCAAGTTACAACCAAACATATTTTGCATTTGTGCTCTGCAAGCTATAAGGCAATAGATTGGTTAATTTGTGCATAAGTTAATATGTACAAAACCTATTATTTCACTTGGCATATAAAAAAAAAAATAAAAACCACACTGTTATCCGAATAACAATATAAATTTCTTGGACGCTCAAAATCGTCTGGAGTGTCAACAATCTATCTCGGTTTTTGTGTTTTCTTGTGGTTAATTTGAGTCTAGTTGCTCAACTCTGCCTTTCCATATTGCTCGAATAGCAATAAAGGCAAGCAACAATAACGCAGCTGCAGTTTCGCGAGTGCAAACAAAAAAAAAAACAAAGAATACAAAGAAAAGTGAAGTGAGCGACGGCAAGAAAGCCAAACAGCTAAGAAGAGCAGCAAAGTCAAGCAACACGGGCATAGCAGCAAATTGAGAGCAGCACAGGCAAAGCAGCACATGCCAATCAGCAAAGGGAGAGCAGCAAAGGCAAGCAGCGCAGCAGCCCTCCCAGAAGGACAGCAACAAACAAATGAGTACAGTGCTGAAATCGAAATAGTTCGAAAATAACCCAGTGCACAAAGTGAAAGTGATTAGTTGACAAATCAAATTAGTGCTTATGAATTTTTATCTGTATTGTATTGGATTTAAATAAAGCAATTAAGCACAAATCAATTTTGTTTGTGTACATATCCGAAGACTAGGCGTGCAAGTGCATTGGGACGATTACCCAGCAAGCACATACAAATTAAAAAAAAATATACTTTGAGAAAATACTTTACTCAATTTATTAATTTTTTTCTTTCGAAAATTCTTAAAGTAACAACGTACTGCCTATCATCAACTCAATTTTTAATTTGTCCGTGAGAGCTTCTATAACTTTTGAACTTTTTTGCAACATATTTGCAAATATTTTTAAATTTTAATTTCAAAGTTTTAGATCCGATTTTGTGCAACATTTTTGCAGTTCCGGTTCAATTTTCAAAACAATGGAATCCATCAGAGCATTTATCACAGCTGCAGACGCTCTACTGGAGTTTGAGGAGTCTTTTACTCCAACAGCAAACAACCGAAGTGCCTACTCTCTTGAAGTACAACAAACTGAACTGTGATCTCTGTGGGCAGAGGTAAAGTCAGAATACAAGTTGTGTTTGCCAAAAGTGGACCTTCCTCCTTCCGACACAAGCTCAATAGACGACATTAAGCTTAAATATTCAAGCTGTTACCACGCTTATGTGTGTTGCGCGGCCTTGATGGGCGAACACATGCACAACCTCACGGCGTTCAAHMAAAGCCCAACTTCAAATTCTACAGTGATTCAACCTGAACGGTTACAACAAACTGTAGAACCCGTGAGGTATTCTATCAATTTACGGCCATGTGTTACTGAGATATTTCATGGCAATGTTTTACAATGGCCCTCATTTAGGGATTTATTTGCTGCTATATATGGGAATAACCCAAGGCTATCTCCGGTAGAAAAGTTATTCCATTTGAATCAAAAAACGCGAGGGGAAGCAAAAGCTTTGTTTCGAAAG